TAATTCTTCTACATCTCGGACTTGTCCAGCCAATACCAACAACTTTCCTTTTAATACGGTTTGTGGTTGGAATTTGATATTGTAATACTCACAAACCCGGTCTTCAAAACAATCCTCATTTCGATCTGAAAACGATATTTAATTTATTACTAGCGATACAGGAACATTTAAATATATTTACTGTTATATAATGAAACCGTTAAAGTAGCTTTTTCTTTTTGTTTTACTGTAAAACTACAACTATAAATGAAGTAAACAAACCCTGACACAGTCAAAATTAAACACACTTTTTGGACTTACCTCATTTGATTTGAATGACCAAAATGATTTCAAAACCTTTTTTCCATCCAAATCGTTGTATCACAACAATTTATTAGTCGAAAATATTTGTTATTTTTTCATTTCGATATTTTTCCACAAATATACGACCTAAATGTCAATGTGACAGAGCCCACAAAGTTGTGGACGCTAGTTGGCGCTGTAATCGTGCACAGAGCCAATTGAGCCCTACTTTTAAAATTACTTGTGTCCGAAATTGAAACCTCCTTGAAGGAAGTCTCAGACTGGGATCCACGTAAATTGGTCCAAGTCACAGTTTGTGCGTTTACCGCAAAAATGATGACTTTGTTTCGAAAAAAAAATTACTTAACTTGAATGTCTATCTTGTTTTTAAAAAATCTATTTTGTTTTTATGTGTTTTAGAAATCGCTTTTAAAATGACACAACTCTTTAGTGGAAAACGTGCGCCATTTTCCCATCCTGTAGATATCACAGTAAAATGTTTGCACCCAACAAATTACACACTATCGGCATTCGAAAACCGGCCAATAAGCAGCTCTACAGCAACTCTATCATCATAACTTAACCAGGCTCTCGTCTGATAATTAGTTATGGATTATAGAAACTGCATTTCTAGTGTAAACACACAGCTTAGTTAAATAACCACAGTGTTTGGTATGGTGTTGCCGGCGCGTCTTAATATAATCCTTGCAGGGTTGCCAACTTAGTTTTCTGAGAAATGGAAAGGCTAAATTACAGTTATTCATTTGACATACACAGACAACCAGCAAACATGATTTTTTCAATATGAGTATGTTACTTCGCTTGCAATATGAGTATGTTCACTTGCTTGACGATGCTATGTATTTTTACCAATTGAAAAGACTGCTCTTTTGGAGATGATATTGTTGTCTAGGAGTAGAATTCATTTAATACGGACTGGTAGAGACGGAAAACTTTTATTTCTTAAAGAATTTGGGGCTTTAATTATTGATGAATTTTTTTTACCGTCTCAATTTAAAGTCCCGAGTAAAAGAAAATTCCTACTCTTAATTCATAACTGGCAACCCTATCCTTGCCTGAATGGATTTCCGTCACGTATCTGCTTTCTAGAGCTTTGCATGCGCACGCGCCGCGAACACCGAAACAACGCGAGACATTGTGCAACCAACAGCCGTGGCCCATCGGGTAATGGCCGTGGCTGAAAAAATGATGATGTGTGATTGTTAATAGCCTTTTATTCGCCACTCAACATTTAAAGAAAAAAAACATTTGCACGCTAAGGAGATTATAGAGTAGGTAAAGTAGGTATTATAATTACCTAAAACATTTCAGATTGCGTGTCAAAATAGTTTTGATTCTTGCAAGCTTTATTACTCTTAATTTATTAAATAGTGTAATAATCAACAATGTTTTTGAAAAATAATGATCATCGAAGTCATCATATACGTCGTCGCTCTGAAACCCGTCTAGTTTTACGGTGTTTTATGGCTGTAAAAGTAGCCGTTCTTAGCTATAAAATGATCAACATAATGTTGTCATTTTATTATTCACTTTTTCCCTTTGAAGTTAACTCCGTTTTCCCAGAAGTGAGGCAATATTTTCCTCTTCCCAATTTATTTGCTGATAAATCATACTTATTTTAACTGAAAAAGATACCAATAACTCAGCTTCATAATTTTAAAAAATCAAAATATCCCTATCTATGGGCACGAGACGTTACGCAACGTGCGCTTGCTCAATACAACCGTATCCCATCAGATGATGTACCGTGTCTGAGAAGAATCGATGATGTGTCTTTTCTTCGGTAATTAAGAAGATGTAAGTAATGTAATGACTAACCCCTTTTACTTTGTTACGTGTAACTGTCGGTTAGATCATCACCATCTCATGTTCTGTCAACATCCAGCTACTGATGGATGTGAAAATACAAGGTATTGATTTCATTGTGTGCAAAGCCAATAAAAGCAAATGCGTGACGTGAAGACTCTACCCATACACGAACAAATTATTTCTATGGTGATGTAGAAAGAGAAACCATCGGTAATCACTTACCATCAGGTGATCCGTCTGTTCGTTTGCCTCCTGTCACATAAAAAAAAATTGGTCCTTTTGCCTTCCTTTAAGGACATGTGAAATTGGACATTTTGGCGTATTTGTATTATTGATTATTTTATTACTTTATCTTTCTATTCATATTTATTACAACCCACCACGTTGGGCGTCATTAATTTTGCTGTAAAATGCAAAATTTATGATAAAGATTTATCATCTAACTAATAGATGTGCAAGGATATTATAAGGAAATTAATTAATCTTAGCATTAAACCTTTTCACGGTATAGCCATCGCGGATATGATTGGAAATCGTTATATTGGTAAATAGACTTAACTAGACGTTTCTCATTCTGGAATATTTTAGAAACCACTGAAATTCCACACGATTTGACCTTTATTTTACTGCTGTATAAATAATAATTTAGTGGATAGGCACTAACGATTATTGCTGATTGGTTCCGATGTAGTGTTAACCTTTAACGGTTCAGCTTTATTAGAGGTCAATACGTCTTATTGTATCCATATGTATGGTTATTTATGAAACACAGGGTTGTATCGGTTAAACTAAATTTTATTTTTGTAACATAACAGCAATAATAAGTATGCCACATCATCTATCCTATCAAATAAAAATTCGTTCAGAGAAGAAAAATTGCGTGAAACCGAATATACCACGAACGTCTCTCATGAGTTCTCTACTTATAATATCAGCCCTATCTAATGGGCAAGGTAAACCTAGCTATATAATTTTTGTGATTCACAAAGTTTATCCAAACTACCATTATAGAGCTACTGCTGTACTGGTTACATTGCCTACCATCAATTCATGGGAAAACTTAATACATTAGTTTATGTGGTTCATAAATAAACCTTTTGTGCGATATGAACCCCACGTAGCATTTTCCCATGGCGAAAGCACACGACCTGACCTGCTAAGTGTAATCCTGATCGACGCGTACGCACCGCCCTCCGCCATTACAATTGCAATCTGTGAAACTCATCTGAAAACTAATACATAAGTAAGGTCTTAATACCAATTTCATTCATGTCTTCAGAAGTTATGCAAACGCCTTGAAACACTGAGTAAATTCTTAAGAACTTTTCCGAGTATCCATTAAAATTTGAAGCCTCTCGTACTATTGTAACTTATAATGGATATACTCGTAGAACTATCAGCCTTATTTGAATGCTTATTTTATTGATTTTATTTTACTCTTTTAAGAAAATACAATAATAAAACGGTTAAGTATTTGGACGTGTGGTGGAAACAACATAAATTAGGCACCTACTTGTGGATAGATAATAAGGCCTCTAGCGTCATGACAGCGGTCATGCCCCGATTTAGGAAATCGCCAGCGATTTGTTTTGGTTTTCCTTAATTATTTCGCATATTAAACGCAAATATCTAGCAGACGACATCCACTTCTAACATGGCAGGACAATGGCTGCTTTTGTCACCTAAATACCAAGTTATCGGCCGCATTATTGTCTGGCCGCGTAAACTCCATTGTGATTGTAATATGCTGCGAAATTGCACGTCATATTGTTGCAGACAACATCACATCAAGCTAAGCACTTTAGCATCTTATTTACTTGTAATAGGTGCTATATTGCAACAAGAATAGTCTGACGTGCTGTCTACTGAACAACAAGCAGTGTTTAGAGCCGGTGTACACAATGTAAAGGCGCGACCAACGCAACGATTGCGGTTAAATCCCTACACTGACAAATGACATTCGAGGATAAATCATAAGCATAATATGACGTCAGTTACTATTGACTATCGAATCACGAACGACTAATGTAAACGAGTCGATAATAAAGGCAAACAAATGACTTGGTTTTTACTATTGGGTTTTCTCTAATTACATCGCCTTTACAAACCTTTAATTTATTGGGTAAAATGGTGTAAAAATCGTGATTTTTCAAGGCTGAGGAATACGCTCTACATAATACCTATAGACAACCGAAGGTCGAAAAGCACTCCCGAGTCCCGAGAAACTAATCAGTCGTTAGTAAATATGTACTGTGCTTTATGTAGACAATTTGTATGCAATACACGTGGAGCGCTCTCTTTGGCCAGAACAATCGCCATCGTGTCCATACTCAGACGGACGACGTGGGCTTACCCCAAAAGGCCGTGTTTTGGCAAGCTCTTTTAGAATGCAGTGACATAATTTAGTAAAAACCAATTGACAATCGTTTAACATGTATGATAATTAATATTTTATAACAAAAGTATCGCCAAGTTAATAATGCCTATTTATTAACCTGAATGCAATAGTAACACTGGACACATATTAATGACTTGAAAATTACACCATGTCTTGATGTCTTACCGTGCTATATCGTTAGTGCAATCTCATGGGAACGTATTTAGAACCACAATAATACCATTCAATCTAGCAACACGGGAAAATACTGGAAATATAAGGACAATAGAAAACAAGCGCACTTTCGCTGCCTACGCGGTCCACTTCTCAAAGCGAACCAGGTTTATTGATGTAGCAATTAGTTTTTCATTGCTACGTGCTGTAATTTCGTGACGCAATCTTTATAGATTAATTCACTAACCAAAACCCACATTATCTAAGATCAGTTTCGAACATTGCGTAGGTAATAACTTCCTACAATTACTTTAATTTCCGCTTTTGATTGTTACAGATGGCGTAGAAAAACGATCCGAGGTATCCATCACAAATGTTATTAAACAAGCTAATGGAAGGAGAACCGATAACTACGAACAACTTGATTTCATCCATAAAGAGTTTCAACAGTGACGGGAAGGAACACGGTACTTCTATAAAGGCGCTGTTGAAAAACTTTATCTTGCCAGAGGACGAAAAAATGGCAATAAAAGAAAACAAAACTGACAGCAATAATTATGTATACACAATACCCGTAAAACCTCCTACACCAACTCAAAATGATAGGATGAAATCAATAAATGAAGCGAAACTAGCATTTCTGAACTCCACTGTCAGTTCTGTTATGACCTCTCCAAAACAAAACGTAAAAGAACAAGAATCCCAAATACACTACGCTCAAATAGCAATTACTACAGAGAGTGAAGATACGAGAAGTACAGGTGGAGGGAAAAATGTGAAACCACCAGTCACTCCCACAAAACATAAAATATCCGTGAGCAATCTCGTAGATAATAAGAAGAAAATTGAACAACCGCAACATAGAAAAGTAAGCTTTAAAATAAAAAATGCGTCAACTTCATACAGACGACCTCCGCTAGCGACCAAAACTATGACAATAACAAGCAGCAAAGTGTCAGAATTAACGAAAAAGTTCAACAATCTTGTCACTGAATCTCATAACGGATCAATAAAACAATCTAAACTTGCAAAAACTATTGAGGATTTACAAACAGCGACGCGATGTTCCGCAAGCAATAGTTCTACTCCTTCATCAACTCTTAGTTCAAGCCCTAATATCAAAATAGTTCTTCGTCATAAACGAAATTCCAAAAAACGAAACCATAGAAAACGATGTTCAAGTATGGATTCCATAGACAAATTAATTATAACAGATAATACTTCAGCAAAAATTCGTGTCATCCGCTCTAAATCAGATGGTACGAAAATCCCAAAATCTCCAAAGAAGCGTTTAAAATATCAAGATTCTAGTGAACACCAAAGTGGGTCGGACTCAGTGGACGGTACCCCTGTCAAATCAATGGAGGCTGAGAAACCCGAGGAAAAAGCAAAGGCACAGAATGTTGTAAAGAACGTTATTAAAAAGTTTGAATGTGAAATAGCTCAATCAACTTCAAATAATACAATAAAAAGACAAGTAGAGAAAATTAATAAAAGTACAACACCTGTAAAAGAAAAACCTAAAGTACCTGAAAAGAAATCATCATTAGTTTTAACCAAAAATATTGTAGTGAAGGATGGCGTTCCGAAAATTAAAACTATCAGACCGCCTCCTCCCGTAGAAGCACTGCCAAAACCAGATAAAATTACTATCATCGAGCCTAAAAGAAAAGAACCTCTGTATGATAAGAAAAAATATAAAACAAACTACATTCATTCGGAAAAACTGCCTTTAAAGGTAGTCGAAATAATTCAAGAAGATGCAAATGAAGTAACGGTAATGCCAGTCATAACAGAACCGGTACAACCACCCGCGGACATAACAATATCTCAAGGAGAAGAAAAGACATATCAAGACATTAGTTCTAATATTACTCCTAATGACTCATTTCTATGGCGAAGAAAGAGTAGCACTCAGATATACTCAGACAGTGAGAAATCTATTTCGGACAGTCCGTATAGTTTTATTAGTGTCACTATGAATGAAGTAACAATAACTTGCACGGGAAACTCTACAGAAGTAACTGGCTTAGAAGAATCTCAAACTCCTGAAAAGATAGAATCTCAAGCTAATCAAAGTAAAGGCGATACTGACTCTGATTTTGAAAGTAATCTAGTCGAGGCTTACAATAAAGAGGTTTTAGCTGGTTACACGTCTAAACCCAAAAAGGAGCCAGTTATTGAAGATGACTACGAGCCCTTAGAACCAAGAGATGTCGATAACGTTGTGATAATACCCATCAAGCCGATTGATAGGTCATCTAAAATAAATTGCCCGTTACCAGAAATTCCCAAGGAAAACCCTACGCAGACTCCAGAGTCCCCAGTCACTGACCCTAAAGACAATATTTACCAGTGTCTGATGGAAACAAGATCACATCCCGAAGGTGACGAAAGCAGTTTGCATAATTACGAACTATGCGATGAACAGTTAGAGGAGAGAACCCGTGGAGATGGCGACAGTGACGATGGTTATGAGTACTGCAAGTCTCCCATTAAACCCTACTGCTTAACATCGAGCTCGGGCATTCAAATCGCCGAAGACTATCGACCGTACTCTGATAACAATCACAAGAATTACGCGATCTCAAAATCGGTCAGTGGAACCTCCACTGTGAGTTACGAAAAGATTGGTTCCGAAAGGATCTACGAGAAGATTCCACTGCGACCTCCTAAATCCAAAGACAGTAGTCCCAACTACAGTGACAGGCATTCCTTCGTATCGTCCGATTATACAGGATACAATGATACGGAGAATATTTATGATACAATCAAACACAGCGATGGAGCATCATTGTCGCATTGCTATGAAAGCATACCTAACAGCCCAAGTATGGTGAAGCTGAGGAATAATCTGAAGAAACAGTTGGCCTCTGCTGTCCAGAAGCGCCTGTCGTTTGACACTGTGTCAAATATAAGCCAATCGACGATGTCGAGCGAGCAAAAGACTAATAGCATTTACGGGCAGCGATCAGTGCTGAGTTATAATGGGCAGGAGATAGCGTTTCAAGTGCCCAGCAGTGAGACGAGCGTCAGCGATAGAAGCGACAGAAGTGACGACTGGGTCGACGTTTCTGACGAGGAAAAGACTGAAGAACAGAAGATTATCATGTAAGTAATCATACTAGTTAGTATTATTATAATGGCATGCCGTAACTTCTATGTGGTAAAGATCAATATCATTATCTATCACTTTGCATGACCTAATAAATTAGGTGATCCCACATAACTTGTAATAACAGTTTCCTAAGCGAAATGTAAACAGCGTTATCTGTTGAACCCGATATAAATTGTTTGGTTGGAGCTCAGTGCTGAAAATGTGCAGGGTTACGTTAAACGTGTTTTCCTATCTGAATTCAGTTACACTTTTATCATAGTTGTATTATTATGAATATTTTCAATTACAGTGTCCGTGAAAGAAGTAGGGGAAAGAAAAGTCCGGTCAGCTGGTCGCAGAAAGTGAGGCATCAATGGCACAAATCTCCAAAGCAAAAACCAGAGGACAAAGGTTAGTGGCTAGTTAATTATTTGTTTAAATAGACCTATAAAAATCGTCCAAAATCGTGTAATACCAGTGTGAGTCCACCTTTACTCGAGTTGTCAACAACAGCGCCATCTATGAGTGACTGTGGTGCACCGACGCCTACGCAATTCATTGACTCGCGTCGCAGAGGCGATAGTTACCATAGATCACTATAGGTGGCGCTCCATGCGACACTTTGTAAAATAGTAAATAGATTTTTATTTCAAAACTACTATAAATACATACATGATATTAGGTAACTATTTTAATTCAAAAGGTGGGCTAAAAACTTAGGAATGCGGACTCCTAAAATGCAGGATGTAACATAAACTTGGCAAAAACTAGTAACATTCAATTCAGATCACCAAGTTTTTCCAGTATCCAGAATTTAATAAAATATCATATTAAGTAGACCATTATTATTACACTGTCGCAACCCCCATGATTTTCAAGTAAGGAACATGGTCTAATAGACCGCCAATTTTATTTGACCTGTGCCATGGTGCCTATATTCATGTCACGTCTTTGAAATAATTTCTAAATACATTGATATCTTGAAGCTGAAACACAGAATGCTCTTATTTGTAAACGAGCAGCATTAGCATAAAGGCGGTTTGTTGCGATTATTCGCGGGTTGCGCAAGCGCCGGTGACAGGCGTCGTACGCTTGCATTCCGCACCATTAACATTCTAGTACCATTAAAAAGCTATAACGTCTCTTTAATTCTGATTTATTCATTTATTTATTAGTAATAAATCTTGGAAGACCGTAAATCCGAACATGCACCTCTCAGCGCCTCTAGCGGTTACTTAACGAACTACAATCGAATAAAAAAACTACTGTACCTCTAGTAGGAAAAACTTTCGAGTTCGTTTCGTTGCGTATTCAAAGTGTCATCGAAAAATTTTGTATGAAAAATTAAACAGCGCCCCCTATATTATAGCCGCCCTAGGGGGCGCTGTTTAATTTTTCATACAAAATTTTTCGATGACACTTTGAATACGCAACGAAACGAACTCGAAAGTTTTTCGTACTAGAGGTACTGTTTATCTAATGTTGAATCAGTTTCAGTTATTTAATAATACGCATTATTTAATATTATTAAACAACGTTTTTGACCAAATGCACCAAGACAATAATTGACCTGCACAATGAGTTTATCTCATAAAATACAATAATACTGTAGGTCAAGAATGCAACACAGATAAAAGTCATAAAAATGCTTTATTGACGTTTAGATAGGTACATAAATTACGTTATCGCCATAACTTATCGTAGGCCACAATCATAAAACGGCCTATGCACACCTCATAAAGAAAGCTAATGCGTATTATTTTACGAATCCTACGCAACGCAATAAAGCTCACTAACGCCACGACCAAAACTGCCCACAATAGACCTAAGAACAGTACTATAACACGAATCTTTTAGAATTTTCGGAAGTTCATCATCATCATCATTTCAGCCATAGGACGTCCACTGCTGAACATAGGCCTCCCCTAATGCTATCCATGTTGATCGATTGGTAGCGGCCTGCGTCCAGCGCTTCCCTGATACCTTTACGATTTTCGGAAGTTGGCTAGTATTATTTATGGGGTTTATACATATAGTAACATTTAAGGAAACATTTCAGGCTTCGCAAATGTCTGCTCCCGCGTAGAAGCTGGTTCTCAAAGCACTCCGCTTATATGCCACCTCCATAACTTCTCAATAGCTAGGATCAGCATCCTACCAGTAGAGACTGAGCTGTCTATTGTCTTCAGATCTGCAAAAACAAAAACAATAAGAGCACTACTAATCTACCAACATAAAAAAAACTCACTAAGTCCGTCGTCTATGCATGCCAACTCTCGGACGATGCCGATATAGGTTGACCGTGAAGACGTAGCGTGGGCAGGCCTCTTACTAGGTGGACCGACGATCTAGTGAAGGTCGCGGGAAGAGCCTGGATGCGGGCAGCGCAGGACCGTTCATTATGGAAAACCTTGGGGGAGGCTTTTGTACAGCAGTGGACGTCATTTGGCTGAAACGACGACGACGACGACTACTTATTCTGGAAATGCTTCGAGAAATGAGCTGCATCTCCGATCCTCTCTAAGCCTGCTGCACTTACCCACACTACAGTAATGTCGCAACAAGTTCACGGACCTGGCTCAGGCTGCGCCCGAGCCTCTAGCCTGTAGGTGCCCGCTAATTAATTCTAGATTCTTGTACTGCTTTACATAACTTCAAGTCTGAGATAGTTATAAATTTCGTATACCAAAATATTCAGATTCCAATGACCTTTCAATTAAGCTGCAGCTGACAGCAGTTGGCTTATCAAGTTGTAGACCTATAGAGCATTATCTTGTATTGAATACTTATCCCCTAACTTAGGTTTTACTTTGATTCGTTAATTTAACTCATTGCCTTTAATTGTTTTGCATTTCGAACTAGAACACTAGCTACCTAATTATCTAATTGTAATACAAGTTTACTTTGGACATAGACAGTTAGTGTGATAGTTGGAACAATAAGCTAAATATGATTAAAATGGTTATGTTGCAACAAGTTCACGGACCGCGCTGCGCCCGCGCACTTGGTGTAGGCGTTCGCTAATCGCTGCCGGATTCCAGATCGGGTTACGACTTGAGATATGTAATTAAATTAGGAGAATTAAAACATGTTATTTTTTTAATAACTTGCCTAAAGTATGAAACTAATAACTATGTTTTGTACATTCAATTTGTTGCGTTTAATTACAATAACAATAGAAAAAGTGCACTAAATACTTTTTACGTTTAGTTTTAAGAAAATTAACTGGCAATAGCAAAATATCCCTAAAGGACTACCAGCAAAGTTGATTTTATTATAATCCACACTACGCTCAATGTCTTTGACGATGAGGAAAACAATCATGCATGCATGATGTAAGTCTAAGGCTGAGTTGCACCACCTAACTTTGACCGTAACTATAACGATAACCGGTGCTTTTTGTATGGAGTTTGACAGATTTTTGACGTTTGTCAAAATTAAAGTAAGATGGTGCAACCCAGCCTAAGAATAGGTATTACTGCAATCTCAGGACAATCTGAAAAATATAAAAAATAGATAAGTTAACTTTTGAGTGAGTAGAGGACGCTTCTTTTGCATTACGATAAGTAAAAAAGAGTCTGAACAAATTTGATTAATTGAATAATAAACTGGCCTTAGTACGACCTCCAAAGTAAATTGACATTAATGATAGCGCAGATAGTGCCTACTTTTGTATTAATGTTGTTATTTTCAGCGTCACAATAACAGTCGGCCCTCATTCAATGACAATCTACCCTTACACGACTTATCGATTTGCGGGCTGTGAGATCTTTACGATAACGTGACCCACATAGATATTACATTGACTGAAGTATAAGTAAATACGTCGATCAGTCCAATCTTACACCTAGAAGAACAATCATATCCTCAGATTTTTTATTGGAAGAGTTATTTAGAAAATACGCAAAGTTTCAGTGCCAAGAAATGAAACTCTGACGGTCGTTTTGTCGTTGATGACTCGAAAAGAATGGAAGACAGGCCCCTTTGTGTGGTCTAGACTAAGTCTGAATGAAAATAGACTCCAAATAAAAAGTGAAGTGACAAAAGTATCCAGTGGACTGTGAATCTTTTTTGCTGCAATTACTGGTCATTATTACTGTGAGTAGTAGAGAATAGAGTAAAAGGCACTTTCAAAGTTCGCTGTAAGTAATGACATCTGTTTTTATTTTATTTTACCACCTTGTGGTCGTAGTTGTACGGTACTCATACTGTCGAAATTTCGAAAATACTAAATTTTTAGTTTTAGTCCACCATTTCTTTCTAAATATTTTGCAACATAAAATTGCATCGTGTTCGTTTCATTTTCATCATCATTGATCATCTAAATTCTAATGGTAGATAATTTGAGGAAGTGGTTTTCATTTGGATTTGGTGTCAGTTTTAAGTGCAAGATTCCTCTATAGATACGTGAATAGACCAATGTTTTAAGCAAGATTTTCGATTCAAAAGAACTTGCCGGCTTAATCTAGAGACTGCTAAAGTGTTATGGTGGTGACCAACTCCTAAAACAAGCATATTTAGCTTACTTGGGGAAGTTATCCTGAAAAGGATCTTCCAGTTCAAGACACTCTAACTCCAATTGCTAGAACATCATGCAAGTATTGCTGAACCACTCGTCACCTAAATTGTTCTTATACGTTATGGTAACCCAGTTCTAACAGAAGCATATTTTGAGCTTCTTCTTCTTATTTTCCCTTGCTCTTTTCCCATTATTTGGGGTCGGCTCTCCTTTTTCTGAGGCGCCGGGACGGTCTCTCCTGGGTTGTCGAAATACTTGTCTGGTGACCAGTGAGTGTCCTCTACCTCTCTTATTATCTGGCAGTGCTAAGGCCCGTTTAACGACATGGTCTTTGAGGCGTCTCATGACATTATAATTTTAGCTTACCTGTGCCAATGACAGTTTAACTTTCCCCCGGGACAAATTTGACCTTCATTGGTTGGGTTTTTGTGGCGGTCAAGCTGTAGATCCTGGCTACACAGGAGTTGCAGTGGTGGGAACGAGAGGTGGGAACAGTCCCGTTTTAGCTTACCTGGAGATATTAACCTGAAAAGGACCTTTCAGTTCAAGACACACTCTCCAACTGATATAACATAAGCCACATATTGCTGAGCCTTTCCACACCTAAATTGTTCCTGGTAATTTGTCAAGCACACAATGCCATTACTTGTAACAAGGCATTGTGCTCGGCCAGCCGAGTGGACTTCCTCGTTGGGCCCGCGCGCAGCTGACGCCCTGCGCTAGGCACGCGGCGTGACAGCCCAAACACTCCGTAGTATCGATCCATTTCACTGGTCATATCGATCAGTTGAGTTTTTATTGATTTATTTACTCCGAAAAACGAATGAACCAGAAACAGCCTAAAGGTAGCCTTTCGAACTAAGCGTCACAGACGCAGCGTCTTTAGCTTTGGTCTTGTGCCACCAACGCCGCGTCACTAACTCGCTTCGAAAGGCTACCTTTAAAGACCAAAGCTAAATACGCTGCGTCTGTGACGCTTAGTTCGAAAGGCTACCTTAACATAGCTCTATCATTTTCAACCGACTTCAAAAAAGGAGGAGGTTCTCAATTTGACCCGTATGTTTTTTTTTTTCTATGTTTGTTACGCGATAACTCCGCCAATTATGAACCGATTTGAACAAATCTTTTTTCTGCGTATAGGTAATACCTCAAGGGTGGTCCCATTTAAATTTAATAATAGAAAAAACAATCCCCAAGGGTGGAAAATTGGGGATGAACTTTTTTATACGCAATATCTCCGCCGATTATAAATCAATTTGAACGATTATTTTTTTGTTGAATAGGTATTATCAAAAGGGTGGTTTCATGCGAATTTGAAGAAAATATTTCACCCCCAAGGGTGGAAAATTGGGGATGAACTTTTTTATACGCAATATTTTCAATTTTTAGTTTTTTTTGTGTTCACGCATTTGAAGTCGGTTTTATTTTTTTAAAAAGTTAATTATCATATCATTGATGGAGCCTATGAATACGGTTTTGTCAATAGCCGCTAACTCCAAAAACTATTTTAAACATTCATTTCTCCGTGGATACTGAAATAAAGACTTAATAATTCGAGAAAACTTCTACATGTGCCTCTACCAAGTTTTTTATGAAAACGTGCTCAGATTTATAGATCTCGTGGGTATCTCGCGGATCTTACCAATTCCCTTTATCCTCGTATTTCACGTTCTTGCGATAGCTTCGTGTGATAGGTAGATACGGGTAAATACCTGAATTATTTACCAGATTCGCGCTTACGTCATCCATGTCTAGGTCGTGCGTTTCACCGACAAGCCAGATCACACGGTCGCTGTCGAACAAGTACTTAACTTTTAAAGTAGGTACCTACACAGTTTCATTATTGTAAAAAAGTGTTTCGTTAGTTCACCGAGTTACCTCCAGGTGGCGCCACAACGGATTACATACAAATCTGCCTTACGCAGTCTAGCAGTAAAAACTAGCATTAAGCTCTTTAAGACTTCAAGGCCATAAGACTTGTCCAAACATCGATTACTCCATCAACCGTGTAACTACTTACATTTGTAGCTTTGTCTTCTAATTATTGTACATTGCAGTTGGTGTTATTTCATATTTTTAATAATTAACATGAGGAAATTGTTAATGATGAAGTACTGGAGCATTCTGTTTGTGCAGATTCTGCTTCAGATGGGTTCGATAAATTATATTATTTTCTATTTAATTACTCTACTAATAAATTATGCTTTCCAGATCTGTATCTACATAAACTTATTATGCGAGAAATATTGATTTATGAAACATAATTTTCACGCTTTTTAATTTTATATCTTGCATTTATAATATTGCATAATGTAGATCGCCCCGTTCATAGGCATAAGCAAGTAGATACAGCTTTTATAAGACTAATTGCTACTGTTGTCAAAGTGTCTTTCTTTACCATAACGATGCTGCGGGGCTACTCCGAAAAACGTTATCTGAAGCTTCGAAATCGTCAAAAAGGTCGTGCTATAAAATGCTAAGCGAATTCATTACTAATTTAACCTGAAGGTCAAAACTTCTGTGAGAACCTGGCGTATCACCGCTCATTTCGCACGTTTATCTGTAGATATCAGTGGCTAATTATACTTATATCTTAAATATTTACATAACAACTCCACTTTCAAATAAGCTGCACTGCTGCATTCAAGTACGCCTATAAATAAACTGTTAATTTATATGCAATCGCACTGGCAACTTTCAATTTTCAGTTTGTCTTACTAAACTATTATACTGGCATTAAAAAGTTTGGTCAGATTTTGATTTTGGTCAATTCAGTAGTGACCTAATAAGGAAAAGTAAGGCCGTAATAAACAGTAGTGTTCTTGTAGCTTGACATTATTGCACCTTCCCTAGTCCCTTAGTTTGTTTTCATGAAATTACTCAATTTTAGGAACTCTACACGGGTCAGTGACATTTATTTACGGCTCCAATTTGAATAATCCACGGAGATTCTCTGAATTCTTCTATCAATATTGTTTAGTAATATTTTAACAACCTTAAAAATGTCTGCAGTATTTTTCGCTGTGTGGTTAATTACTGCTTTGTATTCAGCTGCAGCTCTTAAACCCGTCTATAGATTAGAATTGAGCGATTTCGTCACGTCATTAAGCAAGGCACAATGTTTCCAATGAGTCACAATCGAATCTATAAAACAAGCGGCCATAATGAGTCCGGCAAGTGCACCAATTCCGGTTCGCCTTCGTGCGTTACGCGGTTTTTCTCTTCCTGCTCTGGCGCAGACATTTCATTTGCAACGAACGCGATTTGCTTGTCTGCTTTTGTTTTCTTTGCGGAAACTAATATTAATTTTCACCTGACTGTTCTAAGTTTTTCTGACTTAAAATTATAATCCGATTAGTTTATTGTTAGTCGAATGTACTAAATTGATTTAGTACCATGTTAGAATCAATAATTTAATCAATACTTTCTAATGTTGATGCCAATTTACAATCAATCAATCAGCAGCAATGTAATATTCAGCACAATATTCCTACTTAATTGTTGATATTCACTCCTCCATTGTCACTATAAGCGTAAACATTTACAATCACAATGTTTACAATCCGTTGAAAACAAAGGAAATCGAATCGAAAATACCTCAACAATAGAATTCCTTCGCACATATCTTCGAGGAGCAAAACATGTCTTCACACGGTGCCTCCGCAACGTTGGTGCTACTCATCCTTGACCGTAAAAGAGTATGGGCTTGCCATTAAAAATATGAGGCGGACCATTAAAAATGAGCTCTTGCGTCAAGCTCTACCGTCGGTATTTCCTTGGCAAACTTCAGAGTAAATGGTGCAACGAAACCACTCGGATCATTAGCGATATGCACATTTGTAAAAATAATGGTTATTATTTTTATCACTGCTTTTGGGAATGTTGTTGATCCATCTTGTAATATTGATCCCATCAAAAACAATACTTGTCAAAAAAACCAAGTTTCGCAACTCAGTTGTTCTACGGTAAAAAGTTGTGAGATCCATGTAATACCAAGTCCAGGCCAGGAAATCTTTAACGTTTTACATNTTAGTTATTAATCATGGAATATGTAGGTATAACCGATGTCCGTTTATGTTCAAGATATAATCAATCTCTATGTATAACATGTTACATCACTAATATTTTCATACAAAATAGTATGTTTATACAATTATCATAGTTAACATACAATATGTAAACGATAAACGATTTCACAAATTAGTTAAAAATTATATATTAATGTCGTTTTTCCACTGGAAAAAAAATATATCAAAACATTCTGTTTCAGAAAATTTAACAAAAGTAGGTAGTTCGAAGCCGTGGCTCGCAGTCGCACGACGCGCGCATTGCTCGATCCCAAAACCGGTTTGCTAAGCGGTCTCGCCCGTGCCGTGCGTCAGTGCAACTATACCTATCGTGCTGTTTTGCATGCGATGTTGTTTATAAATGACTAGCAGCGAAGATAACGCAGTGGACAGCGAGATCTTTGATGTGAATACATATACACAAGAATATAGTGAGATGACATGTAGCAGGGAGTTAATGAGTACGAACATGGAACAAGACGAGGATAGATCGTTAAAGAGAAATCGAGAAATGGATAGAAATGAAAGGGACAATATTATTTGATCCTCTAAAAACTAATTGATCTTTTTTGTATGTGCACTTTTAAAAATAAATGATGTATTTTATTATATTTTATCTTTATATTAATTATTGGGTCTATATTAGTTGATCTACGGATAAATTATGAATGATCTTCATTTAAGGTAACGTAATATTTATGTTTAACATACTCTTTTAATATTTGGTAAGACTTGGCGGTTGCACTACCGTGCCCCCAAATATTTTAGTTTTTCCTTGATTCATACACCAAACACTACTTATATTCCAAATTTGAAGCTTCTAGGTCTGCTAGAAGTGCCTTAGAATTTTGATGATCGGTGAGTCAGTCAGTGAGTGACAAAATTAAGTAACTTTGACCCGTTATAATTCTTAAACTACTGGTTCAAATTGAATGAAATTTTAAATATACCGTGTCTTTACAATGCCTGCATAGCTAATGAAAATTCAGCCTTCTAGTTTTATCCACAACGAAGTTACAGGCGGTCGAAAATGGCCTGAATTGCTTCGAGAAAAGGATGGTACGGCCGTGCCGCTTTTTTGCTCGACTTGGTGGGGGCACTGCCGTGCCCCCAGATATAGTGTCCAAATTGTCCAACCTTTATGATTAATATGAGCTTAAGTCTTAAAGTCTGATATCTCAACTGTGGCAATAATGATTGTTCTATGGATAAAACATAAAATAAATGTCGTACAAAACTTTCTCCGATAGATAAATTAAAGACAATACAGAACATGTTTCTAAAACAAGAGTCTTCGTGAACAATGTAGAGGCAAAAACTATAAATGGCATACAGAAGGCGGGAAATCCATCTCTCGGAGGAAAGCCAGTGCTAATTACCTTCATGCGATAGATATCACACTAACACAATATTGTTCCATGAAAGAAAATATTGTAAAACATAAGAACGCATTTAGAGTAGTTATGAAAATACATAATTGGTAGGAAAAACGAAAATTATTTGACTTTCGCTAAGTAATTTTTATAAATGGCGGATAAAGACATAATTATGAGAAGCCTTTGTAAGGTCCAGCAACAATAGTCAGATTACGTCGACGGCTCTAGGAAGGCTGTTCTTGTCATTGTCTACTCGTGATTGGACTACGATTTAGATATCAAAAACATTTATTTTTGGACGTAATATACGTGCGTAATCATTATAATGCTCTTTAAAATTTTCGATTTCTTTTCCCCAAAAAATTGCTAAACGTGTAAGTATTTGTTTTTAATTAGTCCATCAGGAAGCTGATGCTATCACAGGTTCGGTAACCTTCACTGAAGCAACTCACGGAAGGCCTGCAATTAAACCGGAGCATTAAACCTGAACCAACCAATCTCGATTCAGGAACAGACTGCACTAAATCTCGATAACTTAAATCGCTTGCGCAACTAACGCAGTCAAATTCTAGCCGAAGTCGAACGTGGGATCAATTATTAAGCGACGCTGTCGATCTTATGTCACTGGTCTCGAACGAGAGCACCGCTCCAGATCTCCGGTGCATTACAATTAGCAGGCGTTTAACTCACGTTGTTTATACCGTCGGAATTTTCGCCTTATCCGCCATCTTTATTGCCCCTTCTACTATCTTGTTTTCTGTAATTTACAGCTTAATTGATTACATTTCGGCCTAAATTCCCTGTTGTCTCGCTGGACCAGTTTTGCAAAATGTGGAACTGGTCAAATTGGTTTGTTTCAGAATATCGAGCGTTTCGACATTTGTGATAAGCAAAATCAAAGGCTCAAATTGTTAGCCTCACCTAATTAGTTTTGCTTAATTGACGCAGTATAGTTATGAGTGAGTTAAGTCATCATTTGATTGAGTTAAGCCTAATCCAATTTGTGCTAATCAACCGTTGCAATGTTGATCAAAGATTGTGATATCTAGATGACGTCTGACTATGACGACGTCTCATACCAAACGTGCTAATCTTGCCTTCAGGGGTGATGCCTAAAAGGCAATTCTGGGTGCGCCCACGCGTTCGGAACAGTTGTCGCAAAAGGCTTGGCCCGGAGAGGGAGGCGCGGGCAGCGCGCGCGCGAGTTTGCCCTGCGCCCGCGCACGCGGACGGACGCCTCCGCGCGCGCTCAGTGAAAGTGGCCATCGTGCTAGCTCACTATCTGAACAAAACAATCATGAAAAACCCATCGAAACAATATTCAGTGCTCATTCAGATCGTTCCCAAATGAAATCAACAGCAACTCTCACGAAACGGATATACATTCGTATTGTTGAATTTCGCAAGTGTTTTGACGTTCTTTGTGGTTTGACCGGCCGGTTGCGTTGTGTCCCCCTATCATCTTAACGAAAACTTGCAACTGCTGACTCGTCCATGAAGATATTTGTTTACAGTTACATAAAGTGCTTCAGTTTACTTTCTAACTAGGAGTTTTTATTCACATTATCTTTCGTCACGCTACGCTTCGGTCCATCGAAGTTGGCGATGTATAGTCTTGCTCTGTATACATATATTTTCATTTATTGCTGCTAAAAAGTGTTAATGTGTTTTACAAAAGTGAGCTAAGATGGAAGTAAGATTGGTGTAATTTGTATCTCTGGTTTACATTTTCGCTGACTCTATCATAGCAATTAAAAGTCTTTGTGAAACTATTGTTACGGTGCCTAATTCTGGCACTATTATTAGCCACTACCTAAGTAATGTTTGTGTTGGTTTTGATGACGTAACACACTTCATCAATGTGTTGTGTATCCTACGGTTCAGAGGGTCATTCAGCCGTTACATACCACGACAGCACCGTCTCTTGAAATTTACGATACTACCAATGGTTCCGTCGTGTGATCAAAACACAATCGTGCATTACACGCACCTCGTACTCGAATGCATAAGGCAGCATCTAATATTAGTTGTTCAACCAGTTTGTCTCTCGGCTTATTCAAAATCTGCTTGTTATCTGTATCTACCTACCTGTCATGGCCTCTCAATTATTTACTTACCTTGGACGTTTTCTTGTTGAATTCTAAATAATATCTATTCTAGACACTTAAAATATTTCAATTAAGCCATTGTTGTTTTTCCAATTCGCATCTGCTTTTTTATCATTTGATATATTATTTTCATAACTAATTAAAACTATTTTTATATACGCAATTATTGTTTCCATACTAATAAATGATTCAAAGGTGTTTTTAAACACGCTATTTCTATGGCCATTGTTAAAAATAATTAATGTAAACATTTCTAGTAGTAATCAGCTAATGACATCATTGCCCAATCACGTAAACACTGGTACAATAGCGATTGCACAAAGAGAAAGCCCGCATTTGTCATTTCCAATCAGAATATGAACTAGTTTATTATTGATGTTAACAATAACATCGTTATTGTCGTTGAAAACATCTGCATAGGCCGAGAAATGTTGTGGTAGCCGTTAACTTATCACGTTAACGGGATCGTTTCTTGTCGCAGTCTGATCACCACCACTAGCTTCAATACGGTCTAGTCAATATCATGTACTCACTTTTATTATGGCCATATAAAGATATATAATAAACAGTTACCCCGGAAGATATTTAGTATTTAAAATGAACTGGTGAACGGATACCAGTTTATCTGATCTTTCCGTGATTTGTAATTGAAACGATTTATTGACGGTTTCTAAAAAAAGTTAATAGTAACGCCATTTTTCAGCGATTGGATTTGGATTTTCTGATAAGACATGGTATCGATTGAAAAAGTATTGTTAACATTTTCTAATTTGCTTGGTGCTCTACATCTTTTTGTATCTTAATTTATTTAATGTTAAACAAATTACAATTTCAAGCTACAAGTTTATAGGCAAGTAAATTGATTGTGCAGGCCTCCTTCCGCGGAACAAATTATTCGCTACGCGTTCATTGTTTCGCAAGGCGCATGCTCTGATTGCAACCACACACAAACGCTATCTCGCGTTTTGCAACTCCACCACTGCACCATAAACGATTCCATGCAAACCGTTCTGTTGCACCAAACGGTTATCCACTCTATATCCCATAAAAAAGACACTGAACTAAAAAGTTTCCACAAAGCCTAACTGGTTTCATTGCACAACTTCAGCTAATTGCTATTTGCTGTAATTATTTAATGACAATGTTTTCATTTCATTTGGTCACCTTATATAAGAATGCTGAAGCTATCAGTCATTATTAATATCCAATTACTCAACTTTAGCACATCGTTTCTATAAATTATTACTGGCTCTACTAATCCTTCTGTTGCGAAACGCTAGAAATATCGAACTGCGTTAGCGGAGCATAACTATCTGAAACGTAAACCAGAGTGCATTAACCACAACCAATGTCAACATAATTCTTCGAATTGTGATTATTCGGTACGATTGCAATAACTCGGTTAGCATTGAAACTGTGAAAAATAAGCGCGCACCGGTCGACCCTGAGCCGTCCAGTCTCGCAGCTGCCGGCGACTTCGTTCGTTTTTTTCTGTAACTCGACCGCGTAACTGGCCAAGATTTAATAAGGAAACTGATATCAGATGCCAACGCATCTTGCTGACATTCAACAATACGAAACATATCACTGTGTCTACAGATGGAAGCGAATCCTCGAGTGACGTGCAATCGTGCGAGTGAAGTGAAGTGACAAAGTGAAAATAAGTGATGATGAAAAATGGTATCGGAAAGGCCCCCGGTGAACGGAGGAGTCGGCCCGCCGACGAGGCCGCGGACTATTCGGAGGAATTGTGGCGATCAAGGTAGACCAGGCTTTAGACACCTCACCATCCAAATATGTCACCAAAACTGAGCCAATGTCATATGTCATTATTACGCAAGTTACGTAGCATAATTTTTGTATCAATTCTTTAAAATATGTAGATTTATCTAACTAGGTTAAAAGCTTGTATTCAACAAAATGGCATGCTAATTCGCCGTTGCACAAGTTCTGTTAAAGTTCTTGGTGTAGCGATTTGACGATATTCTTTATGCGAAACTGTAACTTGTCACGCATGGCTCAGAATTGTGAGGTATTTGTGCGACCCGAAGGTCGTGAGAGAGATGGAGTTGTCTTCAGTCTGGATTACCCTGATCGTTTGTTGTAGTGTTCATAACGTCCCCGTCTACTGTGTACATCGACACGAGCGTCAAGTCCTCGTACTACAGCCAGAACGACGAAGATGCGCAGCGCCTCACTCCGAAGAGCAACTTGGAAGATAGGGTGAGGCTGATCGAGGTCCTGGAGCACAAATGCTGGCTCAGCTTCAGGACTGTCCTGCGCGATGGAGAAATCGAAATCCAAGATCTCATTGCATTTATCGGTAATTCTAAAACTCTTTTTACGTAACAGAAAATTGGCAATCAGGGGCGAAATCATCAATCTATCTATATATATAAAAGAAAGTCGTGTTAGTTACTCCACTTATAACTCAAGAACGGCTGAAGTAAGACCCATAGCACTGCTCTCATGCCCTTGTAAGATCCTTCATACTATTATCAATCGAAGACTAGAATGGTTTCTTGAGAGGAATCATTGCTTTTCTGATGAAACAACAGGATTCAGGAAATCGCGTTCATGTGCAGATAATTTATCACGATTAGTTACTCGCATTCAAATGGGATTTACTAAAGGGATGTCAACAATTGGATGTTTTGTAGATATTGATAGTGCATACAATAATGTAAACATAAGTGGCTTGTTACAAAAACTGGACANCCGAACCCTTACATTCGCAACTATGCGAGAGCAAATCGCGCTAATAATTTTCCTGCAACTTCACGGCGGATATTTTCTTACAGAACCTGAATTATTTAAGGATTGTTTGCTGTAAACTTTTGACTTGAGATATCCCCACAAGAAAAAGTCGCATGGTGTGAGATCTGGTGACCGAGGCAGCTAGGGTATGTCCCTGTAGTTGCTGATCATTTATTAAAAAAAAATAGTCCTCAGTGTCTCCATCGAGGTACTCTCCGTCTGTGGTGAGACACCTTCTTGCTGAAATAGAGTTACGTAGTTGACCGGGATGCAGTTGCAGTTGTGGTATCAGACATTCATCGATCATTCGACAATACATTTCAAATACTGCGAACGCTCTGTAGGCTCCCGAGCAGTGACTCATGGCGTATTTCAAATCCGCATTAGACTCTATTTTGAAACAATTAAACTTAATGAAAACTCTTTGGTTTTATTTGTATTCAATTTTGAACTTGGAAAATTCTCGCTGGACACCCTTTACAACGTAACCTCACTTCACAACTTCAAAAGAGTGTGACAATACCGCGTCCGTTTAAGTCTGATTGGAATCATGAGTGCACCAGATTCACTCCCGAAGATATCGGAACGATAAACGTCACCATCTTATTCACGTATTTCTGATATTCGGTTTGGCCGAAGCTTCTGCTGGTTTTTGGCCGAAAACGAAAATATGGCCGAATGTCCATTTTTTGGCCGAAAATGGCCGAAAACGAAAACGAAAACGAATATTCGGTCGGTCACTAATAATATTCATCAATAATCAAATTCAGAACTTGAATATTCAACTGCAATGTCTGCTCATGAACGCTTCAAACTCGGTACTTCTTTCCCAATTCCATAAAATTCAAAACTTAGAAAGTGACTAAAAACTTTAAAATAGGTAGTTGAAAGAGACTACAGCTAATTTTCATAGTGGACTGTACTATACGATAAACATGTCAGTCAATTTGACAACCTTTGTCGGAAACATTATTCAATGAAAATATTGTCCGAACCCTTAGTATTTCTCTTTGACAAATACATTAACACATCGTGAACCACTTTTCTTTCACGACTATAAAAATATTTTAGCAATTTAATTCACAAAATCAATTGCGCACATTTAAAATAAAGTTTGTTTACACTTTGACAACAATAGACTGACATGCAAGGTGACATGTCAATGAAGTTTTCAGTTACTGTTGCCATTAAAAGAAATTAGTACCATTAGTTTTCCGCAACATGGCGAGGGTTTTTATGTTCCTGGTCAGGCTATACCTAACTCTAAACTTAAAGGACATTCCTTTTTAATGTAGGAAGTGAATAATCTGGTAATTTTGTGTAGAAAATACTCCCGCCGTCGCGGTAGGTAGTGGCGGAAAGNACCGAATATATCCATCCCGCACCAACGCATCCAGCACCTAAGGTCAATTCGACCCGATAACGCAGTGTGAACGTGTTAAGTATGCTTTTTTAATAAAAAATAAATCTTTGAACATCAAGTGCCTTTATATAGTTTCCATCCTTTGACTACAAATTAATAAAAATAAGTACCATAACATAATTATTTTGAAGATTATTTGATATAGACAAAAAACAATTTATACAAATCGAATTATTTAAAAAAGTATCACTATATTGAATATTTGGTGCTCATTTCTTTTATTTTTGAGGTCCAACAAGTAACGATCAGATATAATTTTTACATCTCAAAATTTTTTTGCGTAGTTCAAAAGAGGTTAAAATATCGATCGATTTCATTTATTTTATGTCTCAAAGAAAGAGGATCAATCATTAAAATAGATGACCATTTAGATTTTTTTACTTGCCGTTTTTGCTAATTTAAAAAGATCATTTAAATACATGCCGAAATGAAATATGGACGACAGTTATGAGAAAAGGCAAACGCTTTGCACGCGTAGCAGGTGACAATGACTTAGATCGGGTCCCAGAAGATATTATTGAGGTATGCGTCAGTTCTGCCACCGAAAATTTACCGAGACAGTTCAAGTTGGCTAAAATGCTTAAATCAAATAATATACAGGATGTTATCAAAATAAAGTACATACATTAATTTATTCAAGGTATTAATACAATTTAGTAACGAAGATAGTTGCGAAAAGCTGATGAATTGTCAATTACTTAAAGAAAAAGGTTATAAATGCTTTAAAACCTTGGAAATAAATCAGTCTTATGGAGTCATAAAAGATATTGATATGGATTTAACTGAAGAGGAAATTCTGGAAGGTTTGAGCAGTGAAACACAAATTATCGACGTAAGAAGACTTAAACGCCGTAATACTATTACTGGCCAACGAGAACCGTGCGAGGCAATACGTGTATGCTTCAAAGGATCATCTTTACCTAGTTATATACATATGTTTGATACTAGGGTGAATGTTAATCCATATGTATATCCCGTAACTCAATGCTCCCGCTGCTGGCGATTTGGACACAGCTTAAAGATGTGCCCCTCAAGTAGGGTGGTCTGCCCTAAATGCGGTCGCGATCATCCTAATTGCGAAACACTGACTTATAAATGTAACAATTGCTCCGGCAATCATATGGCACTAGCTAGAATCTGTCCAGTCTACAAGAAAGAAAAAAGGATAAGAGAACTAATGGCCGAATTTAATTGTTCCTATAAGAGAGCACTATCTATATACATTCCTCCGGAGCCCCATACACCTAAAGAATCTCCAAAAACCTTAAACCATCCTAGCGCAGACATGTATGACAATAATATGGACAAAAGCACAACACAAACTACTTATGCCGATATAGTTAAGACTAATAATGAACCCTCAACACCTAAAACTACAAAAAAGAAAACAAAGAATCGAAAAAGTAACCAACAAAAAAACAAAACGCAAGATAGTGATTGGTTTGAGCTAACGTCCGAAAGTGAAGAATTAAGTAAACAACCGAGGCAAGTTCAAACTGGGGAAAATTTTAAGAATAAAAAATCATGGAAAGAGTTGCTGAAAATAATGAAGGATAAATTACTAGATAGAGAGATGACATGGCAGGAGAAAGTTAAGGACTGTATTAATATTATTATGGATTGGATTATATCATCGGTCTGTGCATACGCGTCTAATTTTCCTTGTTTTGATGTAATTTCATCATGGTTGAAGACTTCCTAAATATACTCCAATGGAATGCACAAAGCGTTCGCCCTAAGACCGCGGAATTTGAACTTTTATTAAATCAAGAAAAAATTCACATTGCCATTGTCAACGAAACGTGGCTTGATCCAGACAGCAATTTCAGAATAAGTGGATATAACATATACAGAGCCGATCGAGACGACGGATATGGGGGAGTTGCAGTGCTAACACACACTTCAATAAAGTCTCAACAACTCAACATTCAGATTTCGAACTCTTTGATTCAAATACGTTCAAATAATTTGATAAAAATTCTAATGTGAATTAGAATTTTTAATTGCAACAATATCGAAAATATTATATCTATTTACTGCCCGCCTTCAGTCAACACTTATAAAAGGGATTGGGATCAAATATTCTCCATATGCCAACGGAAAACTCTTGTAGCCGGAGACCTTAACGGACACCATACCAACTGGTCTACTAGAACAGACACCAGGGGAGTACAAATCTTTGATTCTGCTTTGGAAAACGATTTTGTTACCCTAAATGATGGTACCTCTACTCGAGTCAAACTTGTTAACGGTGCGTTACAGGAGACAAGTCCAGACTTAACGCTGGCTTCGATAGATGTGGCTTTTATGTTTAAATGGAGAGTCTTGAATGAAAATCTAGGCAGCGACCACCTCGTTATGAAGATTTGCACAGAGAGCTACAGCAATAACACTACAAACAGCAAAAGAAGGAATTTTAAAAAAGCTAAATGGCAAGAATATAAAGAAGAACTAGAAAGGACATTGTTGGATTGGAGAATGGATGAAGACCAGCAACAATCTTATGATAGTTTTATAAATTTAGTGAATCAAGCAGCTGACAAGTTCATCCCTGTTATTATCCCCTGTGTAAATCCTTTAAGACTACAAAAATTCAAGCCCAAACCATATTGGGATCAATCGCTTTCGCGTGTAATAGCTGAAAGACGTTTGGCACTAGCTCAATTTCGAAGAAACCCCACACCCCAGAATCTTATTGTATTGCAAAACAAAACTAAAGCAGCACAAACTTCAATTCGTGCAGCTAAAACTAAGTCTTGGCAAACCTTTTGTGATAGTATAGGGGAAGCTACATCCTCAAGCGATATGTGGGCACGAATGAGATGGTTAAGGGGTTATAATGGATCTAGAACCACGGTAGATTTAGAAAGTGCTAAGTCGTTATTACACAGTCTGACCCCAGATTCTGTCACTCCGCAGTCTCCTGCTTTTTCATCGGAAAACGTGAGTCTTTCCAGACCAGTCACATTACAGGAATTGTCAAACACTATTAAATTTAAAGATACTACTCCAGGGGATGATGGTCCTATTCTATGATTAACAATCTCCCGGAAATAGGTAAGTCCATACTCGTAACACTATATAACAGATTTTTGTTCTCTGGTTTCGTCCCACATCAATGGAAAAATATTAAGATCGTTCCGATTCCAAAACCAGGCCGTGAAGTTCAATCTACGTCAGGAGTAAGACCCATAGCACTGCTCTCATGCCCTTGTAAGATCCTTCATACTATTATCAATCGAAGACTAGAATGGTTTCTTGAGAGGAATCATTGCTTTTCTGATGAAACAACAGGATTCAGGAAATCGCGTTCATGTCACGATTAGTTACTCGCATTCAAATAAGATTTACTAAAGGGATGTCAACAATTGGATGTTTTGTAGATATTGATAGTGCATACAATAATGTAAACATAAGTGGCTTGTTACAAAAACTGGACAAGCTTGGAATAGGTTCAATTTTATGTAAATATTTGTGGGAATTCTTGCATAGTAGACGTTTATTTATTAGATCTGCTGAGAATGACACTGTGATATGCAGGAATACAGGACTAGGTATCCCCCAAGGAGACCCCTTATCACCACTTCTTTTTAATGCAGCTACTTCAGACGTTTGCAAGAATTTATCTGATATTTTTGTTTCGCAATATGCAGACGATTTTATTTTATACACGACGAAAAAATCTATTTCAGATGGCTGTAATGACATACAAAGATCACTAAACATGTTTAAAACTTTAATCAGTGAGATAGGCCTATCTTTATCATATAGAAAAACTAAAATTTGCTTATTTAGTAAAGGATTCAATAGAAATAGTGTTAATATAAATATCGATGACAATAATATTGAGCAGGTAGATACCGTCAAATATTTAGGAGTTTGGTTAGATAGGTCGTTAAGATGGGGTAGACATGTTAAGGAAGTTAGGGAAAAGACAATGCGATTCCTAAATGTTTTTAAGGTTCTTGCTGGGTCGAAATGGGGTGTACATCCTCAACATCTTAGACGTTTATATATTGCTATCATAAGAAGTAGGTTAGAATATTGTAGTTTTTTGTTCCATAATAGTGCTATTAGTCATTTAAGTAAGTTGGATGTAATTCAGAATTTGTCAATGAGAATTATTGGTGGATTTGTTAAAACCACTCCGATTCACGTAATGGAAAATGAGCTGTGCCTACAACCACTACACATTAGGAGACGATATCTTGCTGGCAAATTTTGGCTTAGATCTAAGGCCATTAATAATAATATTAACATTGATGTCATTGATGAATTATCTGGCCTAAGTCAAAATCATCATTACTGGGTAAGGAAAAAAGTCCCACTGTTAGTAGATATACACATTACCTACAAAATGATTCCTATTCAAACTTCCTCGCTAAATATGTTTTCTTTAGACATTTGGCTTAGTAACATAGATTTGTCCAAAACAATAATTAGCAAAATAGATGGAATNTACTCGATTAGTCGATTCAAATTCAAGCGCAGATACAAGTCTGGAGACTGAATAAAGACCCTTTTTGTAATGAAAAAATAAATGTAGGTAATCTTAATAAATATTATATTTTTTCAGAATGGTGAAGCGTATGAAGTGATTCTCCTCGACTACCAGCACGCGTTCTACGGCTGCTCGATAATCGACTTTATCTACTTCATAATAGCTGGCACCGACCAGGACTTCCGAAGGAACCACTTGGAGCACCTCAAAGACGTGTACCACAACACCATGGCGAAGTTCTTGAGTTATTTTGGGATTGATATTGAAAAACACTATCCTAGAAAAGAATTCGAGAGGCTTTTCAAGGAGAGGCTCGACTATGGCTTAATGGTAGCCCTATGGTTGCTGCCACACTTGCTAACATAGGGGAAATTCCCGACGTCACTAAGGTCGATTTGAGCACCTGTGAATTCCAGCTGAGTGACCTGATCAAGAAGAGGGTCAGAGGTATTGTGGACGACTACGTGGAGTGGGGCTACATCAAATAATGCAATGGTAGAAAAAGTATCTATTAGTGCATGTTATTTTCTATTTATTTTAACTTGTCATACCCGTAAAAGTACAAATCTAATTTAAGTAAAGGTACGTATTACTTATCTTAAATTAAAAATGGATTGTGTTCCGCCTTCCGAAATTAATAACCATCTTACCTCATAGGTAATAAGTTTATCTGTGTGACATCCATAATTTACAAAACTATTATTATTAAATTCAAAATGTATTGTTTATGTATTACAACTATACTATATTTATATGTACNTTTGTAAGCTGCAGTCTTTAAATAAATCTGTGAAACTTCAATGGATACCATCTCACGTCGGAATCATGGGTAATGAGAGGGCGGATCTGGCAGCGCGTGAAGCAGCAAGCGACGGCGTAGTATACACGTGTTTACCACTATACACAGACATAATAAGTAAACTCAAGGATGACTGTATTACCAAATGGCGTGAACGATTTCATGAACAATCACAATCAAAAGGGATTTGGTACAGAACGCTTCGAGCAGAGCCCTCACACTACCCATGGTTCGACGGAGTTGACAGGAGTAGACAGGAAATAGTGGCTTTGTTACGATTACGTTCTGGACACATACCGTTAGGCAAATTTGCCCATTTAATGAAGAAAAGAGACTCGCCAAACTGTTCTGAATGTGACGTAGTCGAGGACGTTCAGCATGTCTTAGCGGAGTGTGTCCGGAACGAGTCTCTCCGTCAACAATATTTCGGTAGAACCACGCTTGATATTGGTTTCTACAACAGTATCCTAGCTGTACCTATAAGCGAGGAAGCCCGAAAATTATGCAAATTGTTAACTTCCCTATGTGGAAGAAATAGTTGAATTAGGCACATAACCATAATTATTGTAATAGATTCTAAGAAGGTGATTACGGGGGTGACATAGTCACTTTGACAAAACCCCCTATAAACAATAAAGATTTAAAAAAAAAAAAAAATCAACCATAGAGCGCCTAAACGTTAAAGTCCTACATAACGTCGTCGCCAATATACAATGGCTACATTTTTAACTCCACCAATCAATTGAAGTTAAATTTTGTGTAGCAAAACAAGTAATAAGTAAGTAAGTATTTACCCAACTCTGTTGACTTATTAATTTCAAAGCCAAAAAACTAGCAGTTGATTGTTTAGACACGGTCTATAAAATATGTAGAATGCCAGTGTTTACCTGTGGTTTGTCTGTCCAAGTAAAGTTACTCGACAAATAATAACTCAATACATCTAAGCCGAACAAGAAGTTCCGTTATCGTTTCACAGGAATCCCGGGAAAAACCGACCGCTCCGTCCGGGTCCAATTAGAAAACAAACTTTTTAAAACTCTTCGGGGACGGGTTGTTCTGGTGACTTTCCCAGTTATTCCGGCTGGAATGAGCGAAGGCACATTCTTCCTTTTCGATGGGATTTCATTTTCTATCCCTTAGAATAATGAGGTGGGTAGTTTTTATAGATACGGGAGTATCAGTTAATAAGCAAACTAGATGGGCGCCTGATTTTTATCACTTTTTTGCAACTACACTTAATAACAATAACACTCAACCATTTAATAAAATAATAAGACTTTTTGATCTTTTTGATATAAGAATGTATAGCCTGACCAGGAACATAAAAACCCTGGCATAGAGGCGCGTCAATTGCATTTGATAGTGCAACACTGAGTACAGTCGTACCTGTGTTAAATTAATAGGCTAACTTTATGTATCAGGACTTAGAATTACAGGCTAATTTGATATTTTCATAAATTAACGAAAAAATATTATTATAGGTAAACTGGTTTAAATAAATTAAATGAAACCATCAATGAGCTAGTAGGGTTTATTTTATTATTCATCAATAATCAAATTCAGAACTTGAATATTCAACTGCAATGTCTGCTCATGAACGCTTCAAACTCGGTACTTCTTTCCAAATTCCATAGAATTCAACACTTAGAAAGTGACAAAAAAAAATTAAAAAAGGTAGTTGAAACAAACCACAGCTAATTTTCATAGTGGACTGTATAAACGATAAACATGTCAGTCAATTTGACAACCTTTGTCGGAAACATTGTTTAATGAAAATATTGTCCGAACCCTTAGTATTTCTCTTCGACAAATACTTTAACACATTGTGAACCACTTTTCTTTCACGACTATAAAAAGATATTAGCAATTTAATTCACAAAATCAATTGCGCACATTTAAAATAAAGTTTGTTTACACTTTGACAGCAATAGACTGACATGCAAGGTGACATGTCAATGAAGTTTTCAGTTATTGTTGCCATTAAAAGAAATTAGTACCATTAGTTTTCCGCAACATGGCGAGGTTTTTTATGTTCCTGTGTGCCTACCATGAGTTTACGTTAGGTGAGCTCGCTAGCGAATACGTCAAAAAATTATATGAAGATTTTATTTCTTGAAAGTAGCCGCTAGGGGCGCTGCACAATATGTCATACATTTAAATGTCATTTTTTTACGCAGTCGCTAGCGAGCACACCTAACGTAAACTCATGGTAGGCACACTGGTCAGGCTTTACGCGCGTCGTCGCCCGACCATCTGAACTTATTCGCAAATCAACGTCAAAAACGCTTTATTGAACAAAAATTATCGAGTATAATCAGTAATGAACCTCATTCAACAGATCCTAAAAATCTTTCTACATTCCAGCAAAGTATCGATCAGCGGTTGTTTACGATTTCCAATCGATTTCAAATCGAGTTGAAACTCCATCGATAAAACTTCAGTGCCAGCTGCTAGATGGTTATTTAACGATTTTTGGGCGAAACGGAGCATTGACCCACATTCGCCCAACCAAAGTGTTGTTCTTACGGTTGTTATACAAAATTAGGGGAACATTCTGAAAGTATTTTGTCACGTCCACAATACATAACTGTCGGTGTTCGTTAATAGGTAGGTAATAACTTAATTTGCCCAATAAATGTTGACCTACATGTGTATTTTGTAAATGTGTCTAAGAGTTCATATCATCAATAGAGAAATAGTGGTAAAAAATGTGTGATAATATGAACATTTCCCAGCTCCAATGTATTTTTATTAACCATTGGAAAAGTAGAAAAATGGACGACAGTGACTTGAGTTTCATGCGCTGCTTTTTCAAATGATCACATTTGTATGGTTAAAGACTATTAGCGGAAAATACATTCTTAGGATATTGTGTTCTTTATTCTAGAGGAGGCCTAGATGTTCAAAGGCGAACCCCAAAGGCTACTATAAGAGTTCTTTAGCGTCATAAGTATTTATAAGTACTAAGTTTGTTGGACTTAAAAGAAAAGTAATAAAGTTCATCTGAAAATAAAAAATGCTTTCCTAATTCTGTAAAATATAGGTAACGATGGCGCTTACTTAAGTAATAATTTCGTTCACACGACGCCAAGAAGTAGGTGATTTTCAAACATATCATTACTCAAATCTAATTAGTAGTTGTGACAGATATATTAACTAATAATTAACACGAAATGCTGTAATTTCGTCAGTTCGTTTTTTCACATTTTCCCTTACACATGTAACTTAACTATTAAATATTGTGTACTTATTACTAAACCGTCATTTGTCGAGTAAATAATTGTCAGAAAAAGATTTGATAACATTGTGGCTGACGAAAAAAATGCGTGAAAGTTACTTAATTTAATTGAAATAATTATGATTTTTATTGAAGCTGTAAATTGTCAATTGATATAATCCATTACCGGATAGCTAACATGAATTTTAATTTATTCTTGTTTTAGGAGCAGGAACTAAGAAAACCCAAGTGGTGAAAAATCAACAGTTGCAAATATAATCGCAAACTATCTGTTAGAAGCCACCCAATTAACTATCTCGTCTAGTCGGTAAATAGCAGACTAATTCGGCGAACTAACAATGTAGCTCGCTATGACGGAGTTACTGTTTGCGTCTTGTGAACCACTCCGCTCATTATACTTGACGGGTATTTGATATCTTTGTTGATTTAGTGTGGTTCGAGCTACGTGGGTTAACTATTTTATTCAAATTTAGTTTAAACTCTACTTTTTAGCTCTACAAGTCTATTTCAGTTGTATAGATTATGAGCGTAAAATGATTGACATGAAATTTTAGGTCGTTAACAGCTTTCATTGTAATTCTAGTGACGTCACTAACGCAAACCACAAAGTCTCAAGTATTCAACAAACGACTGCGACTTGTCTGTCACCGTAAAACAAATGACTAACGATCGCGCCGCCGCGAGGCTCGAGTCGAGTATGTAAAACGAATGACGATCAATTTCGGGGCAGCGCAATCAGTGTAAAAACACGTGACAGACGAGCCGCAGGAACAAATGACAGTCTAGCTGCGTGCAAAATAAGGGCGATCACTCACCGGAGGCGTCGACGTGCGAGTTGAGGAACAGGATGCAGGCGATCATCAATGCGGTGCGATGGAGCGCGCGGCGGCTCTCTCGCATCTTACCGGCGCCGCGCCGCGCCTGCGCCAAAAACCACGTGACAACGCACCGCTCGCTGCCCCATCACCGCGCGGCCGCCCGCGCATCCAACCACCACTACTTACGATACAACTTACAGACTATACACATCACAACCCAGTTTTTTGCCACTTAACATTAGCTTAAAAGATTATCACAAAAATACGACAACCGCTTCGATGCTTTAAATTTTCAAAAACTTTTAAAAACACGTAGACGACAGCGACGAGGATTTTTAATTAAATTTAACTATTTATTTACAATAATTTGATTTATTTATTTATAGGAAAGTTAGCGTTTAGTTTTGTTTTTGTTTTATTTAGGCGTTTTCACTGCGCGAGCAAGTTGGGAAGCACAGTTCGTTAGGGACATGTGTTCAACCATATTCCATTGTTCTATGGCGTTGGTGTCTTCTCAACTTTGTAAAGAAACACTACACTGGTGCGTTCTTCCGACTTCACGATACACACAGGTCTTATTCTCGATCAAACACATTTTTTATATTTGACGCCAGTGTCACTGGTATTGTTCGA